AGACTTGCTTGACCTTTGATAAATAAATAATAACTAGGGATAAGGAGTTAAGCTGGAGAAGAAACTTATTCTGACAAGAGTTAAAAGATATCTAAGTATGCTAAAGTCAGCCTTTTTTTTACCTGACCTTATCAAGCAAATTGTATAACTATATACACTCACCGGTCACTTTATTAGATACACATGTTCAATTGCTTGGTACCACAAATTGCTAATGAGCCAATCACATGACAGCAACTCAATGCATTTAAGCACCTAGACGTGGTGCAGATGACTTGCTGAATTCAAACCAAACATCAGAATGGGGAAGAAAGGGGATTTAAGTGACTTTGAACGTGGCATGGTTGTTGGTGCCAGACGGGCTGGTCTGAGTTTTTCAAAAACTGCTGATCATCTGGGATCTTCACGTGCAACCATCTCTAGGGTTTACAGAGAATGGTCCAAAAAAGAGAAAATATTCAGTGATCGCAGTTGTGTGGATGAAAATACCTTGTTGATGTCAGAAGTTCGAGGAGAATGGGCAGACTGGTTCAAGATGATGAAAAATGCAACAGTAACTCAAATAACCACTCATTACAACCAAGGTATACAGAATGCCATCTCTGAATGCACGACACATTGAACCTTGAAGCAGATGGGCTACAGCAGCAGAAGACCACTCCGGGTGTCACTTCTGTCAGCTAAGAACAGGAAACGGAGGCTACAGTTTGCACAGGCTCACCAGTATTGGACAATAGAAGATTGGTAAAAACTTTGCCTGGTCTGATGAGTCTCGATTTCAGCTGTGACATTCAGATGGTAGGGTCAGAATTGGTTGTAAACAACATAAAAGCATGGATCCATCCTGCCTTGTATCAACAGTTCAGGCTGGAGGTGGTGCTGGTATAATGGTGTGGGGGATATTTTCTTGGCACACTTTGGCACTTTGGGCCCCTTAGTACCAACTGAGCATTGTTTAAATACCACCTACCTGAGTATTGTTCATGACAATGAGTTCACTGTGCTGCAATGGCCTCCACAGTCACCAGATCTCAATCCAATAGAGCACCTTTGGGATGTGGTGGAACAGGAGATTTGCATCATGGATGTGCAGCCGGCAAATCTGCAGCAACTGTGTGATGCTATCATGTCAATGTGGACCAAAATCTCTGAGGAATGTTTCCAACACCTTGTTGAATCTATGACACAAAGAATTAAGGCAGTTGTGAAGGTAAAAGGGGGGCTGTCTCAGTACTAGTAAGGTGTACCTAATAAAGTGGCTGGTGAGTGTTTATTTTAGATATGTATGTGAAGACAATCAGTTTAAAGTGACCCTTTCAATTGGCCAAATGTAAAATGGACAAAGTAAAAGGATCACCTAGCTATCCCCCCTCCCAGCAGCATATATTCACCTTTACTTGTTATAAGCATGACTCCCCTTTTCCCAGTGACAGCAGTTGGTGCCATGTAATTGTCCCAGTCCATAACCCTGAAAAGTTGGTTGAAAGCTTACACAGGGGCATCCTTACCTCAGAGTTCACACTAAGCAGTGAGAGAACAAGTAAAAGTGTCTGGGGGAGGGGAGGGGTTAAGTGACCCATTCATCTTGCCTTGTATGGGCAAAGGAAAGCATCAGTTTAAGGGAAAATACTGCTGAATATTGGGCACCTGTACATCCTGGAGCCCTTGCATTCCTGTTAACAAAACTGTTTTGGAAACCTAGAAAAGAACATTGTGTACATATTTGAAAATTGAATTTTCTTTACAGTTGACCTATACCTAAAGAGTTTGTGAGACAAAAAAAATATTGTATATCTCTGTAATGCATGTACATTTCCCCATGTTTTATCCCTTTAAAGCCCTGCAAATACAGAGAAATATCACTGATATGCAATAAATGCACTTAGTTCCAATATTTTGTTGGAACTGACAACAAGATTTTGTGGACTGAAATAACAGGAAAGGGGTGTATCAGCTTTGCTCAAATGACTTCTGCTAGAATACTTAATTATTCCCCCTCTTCTCATCTCTACAACATAGAGGGTACTTTCTTTGTAGGCTAGGATTAGAACGGGGGGCCCAATTAGGCTCTTTAAAATTCCACAGGACACAAGATAGCTCTAAACAGCTGTTTCTGTACACATCAAATAGATATAACTGAATGCTTTCATTAATACATTTATCAGATATGTTAAAGGTTTTATCATTTAAACTGGGCATAAAGGTAGAAGTCTTGTTGGGATGAAAAAAAAGTAAAATGTTTACCTTTACTTGGGAAAATGCTTTTGTAGAGTCAGTAAATTTGTATGAGGGATGTGAATTGTAGTTTTGTTTGTACTTCTTTTCCACAAACTCTTAAATTATTGTTTAGAGACATACAATGATTTTTATCATTTATTTAAAAGATTTTCTTATTTTTTTCTAAGTACTACTTCTGTCAGTTACTGCAACTTAACTTTGTTTTCTTATAGTGGCTCACATGATGCAGGATATGATGTATTTTTAATTATACCTGCATGTCAGAATAAATGCCTATGTTGATGACTTGATTAATTGTAGGCATGAACCTTTGATTTTAACTTTGACATTATTATGACTCAAATAAATCACATTAATGTCACTATGTTATTCTACAGATATTCAGCCTATCTATCTTTAAAGCTTATGCAGAATTTGTATATTTACAGGTTATAAAGTCACCATTTTCTATTTTAAATAATAAAAAATTTTTAATTTTGTGGCTCAAAAGATAAAATACAGAAAAGGCATGTCTGGCTTGACCATGTGAGGGTAACCGCAAACAACTTACACGTAGGACTTTAAACAAAAAGATGCTACTAAGTATCAGAAGTCAGGTATGGACTGGAGTCTGATAATGTACAGGTGCCATGGCAGAGGTAAAGGTAAAATCAGCATAGCAGGAGGCAAACGGGTGTGTCTCAGACTAGGCTCCGGGGTAGTGTAGGTAAAGTGGTTGTAACCCTTAAAAAAAAAAAAAGCTGTTGTCCCTTTAAGGCATGATATATAGCACAGAGCTTTTGCATTGTCATTTGTCCCATTCCATGTTGTACAATACCTAGTTGATCCTGCATGTTCCTGTGTTCCCCTATGTGTACTAACCATGCTAGTCATGGCTGCTGATCCATGATAGCATGATCAGTTTACATCCCTCCATCATTTTGCTCTCTCCTCAGCATTTCTGCATCTCCTCCTCTCCCGCTCTCTCTGGTTCTCATTTCTGTAATCTGTGTGTGAGCTGATCTCCTCTCCACCCCTTCCCACTCCTTCCTTCTCCTCCCTTCCTGCCTTAAGTAATACTATTCTCTGCAGCTGTTCCAGCACTTGTAAAAAAAAATCTATTAATTACTTTGATCCTCCCTCTTGTTTAGGTCCATGTTTAGTACAGTGTGTGTGTGTTTTCTTAAAATTATAATGCTACATACCTTCTTTGCACAGTGGTGCTGTGCAGTCATGTGTCCTCCCTCTTCCATCTTGCAAACATCAGAAGGGAATCACAGCCCCTCCCACTGAACTCTCTTAGATTGGTAAGGAAAGAAGAGGAAGGTCATATGACTGTACATCAGTACTGTGCAAAGAAGGCATGTAGCATTATAATATTAAGAAAACTCACACACTGTACTAAACATGGACCTAAAACAGAAAAGATCACAGTCATTAATACATTTAACTTTACAACCGCTTTCGGTATAAGTTTCTCCTGTCAGGTTCTACAAGCTTCTGGGACAATTTCATAAAGTCACCATTTTCAGTTAATTTACAGTCCTGAAAACCATTAGCCTACCTAAATCTCTCAAATTATTTTTTCCATCAGCAAATTGATTAAGGTTGATTTACCAAAGGAGTAGATGGTGTTTACCTAGCAAATTGTGTATTAATTTTGCATTTTGTTAAACTCACAAAATTAATATTATTATATATGAAACCTGCCTTTGCTGGTCAATGGGGGGAATTTATAACGAGTGTCATAGTGTGTTACTGCCCAATGAATGTGATGAGGATCACTTTTGGCATGGCATGTGTTCACCCCCATATAGGTGCCTTTTGCCGTTTAAGGGGGGAATGAGAAAAACATGGCTCAGCTGCCTATGTTTATTACCCCTAATGCAAGTGTAAACTAAGGCTAGGGCTTGCAGGAATAGAGCTGGTGTGGGTCTAAAAAGTGCAAGTTGAAAATTCAGAGTGCAAAATGCACAACTTTACTATTTTGACTGGACTGCAGAGTACAGACTGTTCATACACAGCTATACTGTAATTTATTTTAAGCCACATCTATAAATTATAGTATTGTTCAAACAGAAAAATGGTCATAACCCTTGTCAGTTAATGTTTTTCAGTCTGTGTTCTGTGTTCTGTTTTTCTGTGTTACTTCTGCCTAAATCTCTTAGACATTTGTAACAGTAACTGTTCTCATTGGAAGATTTACGTTACGTCTTGTTCTGGTGACAACTGTAAAATTTTGGATTTACCTTCACTTTCTGTCTCTTTGTCAATGATCACCCAAAAAATAGAGAGGGTGCATCTCACCAGTGGGGACACACAACAATGAAAAAACTGCACAGGGGTTCTAACTCTTCCCTGATATAGCTAACTAATACTTAAAATAAAATTTATGACCATACATGCACTTTAACCACTAGCCTACAGGGCACTTATACCCCCTTCCTGCCCAGGCCAATTTCCAGCTTTCAGCTCTGTCGCACTTTGAATGACAATTGCGCGGTCATGCAACACTGTACCCATATGACATTTTTTTATCATTTTTTTGTGACAGATAGAGCTTTCTTTTGGTGGTATTTAATCACCTCTGGGTTTTTTTTTATTTTTCCTAAACAAACCAAAAACTACTGAAAATTTTTTTAAAAAAAATGTTTTTTTCTTATTTTTGTTATAAAATTTTGTAAATAAGTGATTTTTCTCCTTCACTGATGTGTGCTAATGAGGCTGCAGTGATGGGCACTGAGAGGCTGCACTGATGGACACTGATTGGTGGCACTGATGGGCACTGATGAGGATGCACTGGTAGGTGGCACTAATGGGCATTGACAGGTATCACTGATGGGCACTGAAAGGCAGCACTGATACATGGCACTGATAGGCGGCACTGATAGGCGGCACTGACTGGCACTAATAGACGGCACTGACTGGCACTGATAGGTGGCACTGACTGGCACCATTAGGCGGCACTGACTGGCACTGTTAGGCAGCACTGACTGGCACTGATAGGTGGCACTGATTGGCAGCACTGATAGGTGGCACTGATTGGCATTGATAGGTGGCACTGACTGGCACTGATGGGTGACACTGAAAGGCAGCTCAGATGGGCACTGATATGTGGCATTGGTGTGCACTGGTAGGCACTGATATGTGGCACTGATGGGCACTGGCACGAGGCACTGATGAGCACTGACACATGGCACTGATGGACACTGACAGGTGGCACTGCTGGGGCTACACTGATCATCAGGGCACACTGATCATCAGTGCCCTGATGATCAGTGTGCATGTCCCCTCGTGGAAAGCCGATTACCGGCTCTCCTCTCGAGCTGTCAGCATGACAGCTTGTGAGGAGAGAAATGCTGATAACCGGCATTTCCCTGTTTACATGTGATCAGCTGTGATTGGACACAGCTGATCACATGACCGAGCCAACATCTTCGGCTTCCGTGATCGGTGATCCGCTGTGTCCGAGGGACAAAGCGCACGGCCGATCGCCGCGCTGCGCGCTCCCTGAGCCACGCATGCACAGTGAGAATGGGAGGATGTCATATGACATCCTCCCAGAACGAGAGAACCACCTTGCGCTCATCATATTACTATATGGCGGGCGGGAGGTGGTTAATAGAGTAGTACAGGAAGTAAAAAAAACAAACATGCATACTCACTTAGGTGGATGTAGTATCGGTCCAAAGCTGCATCTGTTCCCCACCACCTCTAAGACAGAGAACTGACCAATCAAATACCACTGAGCAGATTGCTGGTGACTGTCATTGATTGGATCTCTGCTTTTCCCCTGCAGTGCTCACTGGAGAGTGGAGAGGGGGTGGGAGCAGCTGGCTCAGGCTCTCTGGGGCTCACTCCAGAGCCTGGACCAGCTCAGTGACATCTGCAGACATGTGTCTTTAGCCCCTCTGTTGGCTGAATACAGGTCACAGGAGTGTACAATTAAGTGCACTCCTGTGACCCACAGGAGAAGCATGGTCAATGGAGCTTAGGGCCTACTTCTCCTTTAATCATCATATATGCTGCAAAGGCAACAGAAAAGAAACATGGCTAGAATTTTGAAAAACAAGTACTTTACTCATGACCATTTTTTGGCTGTATGCAAGACAGTTGATTTAAATCTTTAGTACTTGCACCTTAATAAAGCATTATATTGACATTTTTACATTTGATATAATAACATTGAGTTTTACTCTCCCAGCAGCACAAGGCCTAGGAGGTAATCATGTGTTAATTTACATCAGGTAGCCAGCACTGGGTGGAAATTAGACAGACGATGGGATTTAGTTATTTTTCATTAGCACTTGGACTGTGATAAAGGAGAACAGAAAAGAGCTTCTTGACCTTTAAGTGCTTAAATTATTAAAGAGCAAATAGATTTGAGGTCTGGTTACTCGCTAATCTAATTTGCCTTGTGGTGAAAAGATGAAAAGACATTTTGGGTTTGAAATAGCTGTAGTCTACTTTCTTTCTCCTCTAATGTACCAGGAGACAAATAGATGGCAGGAATTTTCTTCACATTCATGGTGACCTTAAAGGAAAAGGAAAAAGTGTATGTCATTGGCCAAACATTAAAGCTATGTGCATATATTTGTGAAATATCTGCTATAGATCATGTTCTGTATTACAGTCTTCCTATTGAAATATATCATACTGATAGTTGTTTGATGCATAGAGGCCGCTGCCAGTGCCTTATCGCTTCAATTGACAGATGTATTTTTTTCACATATCAGTCCCTTATGTTCTTAAATAATTGATTCATCTGTTATTTCTTAGAATTGGTTTTATTATTTTTGTTACTGCAGAGTTAGAGTTTAAAATATAGCTATACATTTAAACACATTAGTTCTGTTACTATACAACACAAAATAGGTTTGCACTTATAACCTATTTCTTGTATTTCTTGATTTTCTTACCTTATACACCAATGCCAGTGTAAATATTGCTTTGTATACATTCACCTTGTTTGCATTTTCACTGTAACATCAGAACAAGGAAAGCATTTGCTTAACAAAACTTTTTGACTGACAGTTATCAGTGTCTGGAGTCATAAATGATGATTTCAAGCTTCAACGCATTCTTGCAATCAAAAATTGCTAAAAACTGATAGTTCCTGTATTACACTGTAATCACTACAGTGTAATGAGCATGTGTCCAGTGCTGTTAGAGACAACCTTGACAAATTATTTTCTTTGGAGGAAAAAATCAAACTACATTTTCCCACATCATCCCTTTATAGTAATGCTGAGAATATGTGGGGGCAGTGCCGTAAGGCACTGTTCACATTCATTGGTTTTTTTTGCACTTTTTTAGCTTGTTTTTGGAGTGTCGTTATTTATTTCAGTGGGCCTCCCTGTGCTCCAAAACTGCACTAAAGAAGCTCATGTACCAAATGTTGGCACTTGCGCATTGATAGATGTTTTGTTGCATGGAAAATACGCAACTGCAATTTGCATTTGGGGTGCCAAAAAAAAACAGCACTGCAAGGGCACTGGCCATTTTAGAGTGCTTTTCACATGTTTGCATAAACTCTAGTTTCTGCCCATTTTTCTGCTATGCTCAGGTGTGAAAGAGGCCTTACATTTGAGGGTTCTATGATATGACGACCATTTATTAAATTATCCAAGTATTTACTTCTTCAAAAATTGGAGCCATGTTTATGTAATTTTTTAAAATGTTTATTTTGGGAAGCATTATTGATAAGCATGAGTATACAGTATATTGTGTAAATAGAAATGTAAATTTACTGAGAGTTGTTATTGAGCATATTCCTCTGTATAACCATGAGTACATGATATGTTCTATATCAAGGCCCAGGTATCATATCACAGGCTCTAATATTGCAATTAAACTGATATGTTTGTATTTTAGCCTAAACTATCTCAGTTGCTGCTTCTGTTGCTTTTTCCTAGCTTCTAAGAGACTTTTTCATGTGTTAAAGAGGGCTAGATGAGATTTAAAAGGATTTTTTGCATCAGTAGATAAACTTGAGCGAAGTGAAAACCTAAGCCTGTCAGTGTTGTCCTCTTTTTCGGAAAATGCTGGTTGCTTGACTTCTCTGCTGATCTAATGTCTTCAGTTCTTTCTGAATCACTGACCTGGAACAAGAGTGCAGATCTGGAGTTCTGACATCAGTCTGACTCTTATTTGGTGCATGTCTGTTCTGGGCTATTGGCTTTGAATGTGTTGAAGTCAAATATTCTACAGTTAAGCCAAATAAACAGCATTGTTAGATCCAGGCTCAACAGTCTTTGAGCTGCAGATGCAGCATGATTTGTACATCAATTTGAGAGCCTCGTGAGATCATTCAGTATACATTGAAAGGTGCATCTGACCCAATGTTGACCTTCTGACCTGCATTTGACCTTCAAGTTGCATTTGCATTCCCATAGATTTGTATGGAGAGCAGTTCTTACAAAACAGACCTTTAAAAGGAGGTCAGTAATGGCAGCCTCAAGGTTTCTCCCAGCACAGATTTCCTTCAGATGTTGTTTCTGCTGAATCAAATCTACATTATTTCATGTAAGAACACCCAAAGTGCTGTAGCTGTGCAGATGATGTCACTAGGACTTACACACTCAAATCAAGTCATCAATAATAACTTCCATATCACTGTTCTGACAGATCCCTTTTAAATCTTGTATTTATTACCTGAGATCAAAGGGTTCTTCAAAAACTGAAAGTCTGTGAAATAACTTGCAAATGCTTTCTGAAACTAATGCTTTTGTCAGTAGTGCTTGCAAGGTAAGTCCCTGTCACATGGGGTGGACTCCGTTTAGATCAGCAGGGATATGTCCATCAATCCCCTGCTGATCAGAGTAGAGCGGGCAGATGAGAGGCCCATGTCCGCTTAGTTTATGCAGAGCAGACACGGACAGAGCCTACTCTGCTCTATAGGCTATCTATCCTGAACTCAGCTGCCAGACTCATCCACCTTACCACCCCGCTCCACCTCTGCCACCCCCCTCTGCCTCTCCCTCCACTGGCTCCCGATTGCCCAACGCATCAAATTTAAACTCCTTACCCTGACCTACAAAGCCGTTCACAACACTGCCCCTGACTACCTCACCAATCTGATCACCAGGTACCACCCTACCCGTACCCTTCGCTCCTCACAGGACCTCCTTCTATCCTGCTCCCTGGTCTCCTCCTCCCATGCACGACTGCAGGACTTCTCCAGGTCCTCCCCCATCCTCTGGAACTCACTGCCCCAATCCATCAGACTGTCGCCTTCTCTATTCACATTCAGGCAGGCGCTCCCTCAAAACCCATCTCTTCAGGGAAGCCTACCCCACCCTCACCTAACGGCCCTCCCTCATTCCTCATCATTCCTCCTACCACTTCATCCCCCCAGCCACTTCCTACTGTACCTTTACCCCCTCCCTCCTAGATTGTAAGCTCGTAAGAGTAGGGCCCTCTTACCCCTCGTACGCTGTCTGTCTTTGTTGTACTGTGCCATGTATTGTCCCCCCCTATTGTACAGCGCTGAGCAAACCCTTTGGCGCTATATAAACTCGTAGTAATAATAATAATAATAATAGGCTGCCAGGAGCAAACGGACTTCACTGTCACTTACCCCCGACTGACCTCTGATCTGATCCCTTTAAACGGAGGGATACAAATCCCCCTCCCTTTTTTTAGCAGACTTGATCAGATCGAAGGTAGGTGGCTGTAAACAGACACAAGTCCTTAGACACCTGCCAGTCCAAAGGAGTCAATGGAGGGTCCCATCAGGTCCATCTGAAAAACTGACAGGTGGACCTGATCAGACCCTTCGTGTGAAAAGGGCCTTGAGATTGAACAATCACTCTGTATTTAATGCTTGAAAGTGGTTATGTAATTATGTGTAATCTAACAGAACAAGCTCATGAGTATATAGAATCCAAAACTTTAAAACATTACCACTTGCCGCCCAGCCACTGTATAAAAACGGTGGCAGGGCGGCACGGCTGGGCAAAAGCACGTTTTAAAATGTGCTGTTTCAAAACAGGTAGGGGGCGCGCGAAAGGCGCACCGCCGCCCTACCTTCACCGCCGATCTCAGCTGCGGGTGTCAGTCGCCGGGTCACAGCCGGTTGTTATCAGCTGTGTCCCAGCGATTTGCGCCAATCAGTGACAGAGAGCAGGGCTGCAGTAGCTTTGCTTTCTGTCACTTCCCTGACGTTTCCTGACATGCAGACCAGGAGAAATGAGTCCCGATCTGCGTGTCTCCCTGCAG